AATTTCCAGGGGAGAGAAAGAACCCTTAATCTGAATCTATACTTCCCATCTCCCTGTGCCATCTTTTCCAAAACTGGAGTCTTGGCAAACAGTTCTACATTTTGATTCCATTTCTGTTACACAGAGGGAAGTAAAGCCTGAACTACTGACTGTGTGAGGGCTTGGACTCACCCTTTGGTTGTGTCTCAAGGACTTTCATAGAGATGAGCGGGAAACCATCAGACTCAGGCCATCTCCTCAGTGCAGCAGTGGCTGCATTTGCCCAGTAGCCCCTTCTAGATTTCCAGGCAAAGAGTGGAGGATTGCCCTTTACTGTGCACCACATGCTCCTTCGAGGGCAAGCTTCCTCAGCTACTAGTGGGAGCAGCCCATGTGCAGGTGGTATTCCGGGCTCACTTCCTGCCGCTCATTTTGTCTCCATGAATCCGGTTTGGGTGGGTTGACCCTTTTACTCCCTTGTTTTAACTTACACAATACATGTTTGTCTAATGGGGTGGGATACTTTTGTTGAAACCTCAGAGCTGAGGGGGCTCTCTTGTCTAGGATGTCCAAGGCCCAGCAATTGACCTCCAACATCATGAAACCCAAATAACCAAACTTAAACAATATCAAAAACATTGCTGGTGCTTTTTTGGCCACTTGGAAGAGTACTTAGGAGGAAGCTGGTAAGAGCTATTCCCTGATGTTTCAGGCCTTTGGTTTAAGAAAGAGATCAGGGGCCAGTAAGATGGGCTCCGTGGGTAAAGGCTCTTGCTACCAAGGCTGACCACCCGAGTCTAGTCTCCTGGACCCACATGGTGGATAGTGAGAATGAAAACTGTTTTCTGACCTCCACACATGGGCCATGACACTAGCCCCCCAAAGACATGTAAATAAAAACCAAAAGGACAAGGCAAAGCATGACTTACCGTTGGACTGCTGATTGGGTTATAAAACTCTGTCCTTTGCTCTTCAGCCCTCTTGGCTTTCTAATAGTAGGAAAAGATGAATCTATCCAGTGGGCTTTTCCTAAACTTATGTCTTAAGTCATATGGTTACTATGTGAATACAGAAGGGCAGCAGTGTTTTGGTGATATGTAAAGTATACTGGAGAATATAGAGGAGAATACGCTCTTAACTGGCTTTGATACCAGCTGTCCCTCAGTATCTGTAAGGGATTCGTTTTAGAAGCCCCCTTGACATACCCAGATCTGCCCATGCTCATCTCTTATGTATTCCTAGTACTGTATGGAAACTGCACATATATTCCCGTACATCATCTTTGCATGGCACTCTGGAAACACGGATTGTAACATGTTTGAGAAACTGATGAGAAAGCCAGTCCACGCTTGGTCCTCATACAACTGACACACACTCGAAATAGCTTGAGTCTGCCACTGGTGAGACCTGTGATGGCAGGACCCACGGGTCTGGCTTCTTTCTTCTTTTCACTTAGTTAAGGTGCCAAGTGGAAAGGGGAAAGCAATTATTTTTTAAAAGTCACCCCTCCCCGATTTTTAATGATGGAAACAGAAATACACCTAAAACTTACGCTTCTAGAAGAACCATTTGTTCCTGCCTGTCTTGTGTCTCAGAGTTGACCTTGGCCTCCTATCTGGTCTTGCGTTTCAGAGCTGGCCTCTGAAGACATCCTTGTGGTGACAGTTTTGTCCAAGGAGACAGTTGCATGGTTCTCTGGGGGAGGTATGAGGCGATGTGAGGCGATGGTGGTCATACACTTTCGCGAAAGCCTTCATCTTTGGCCTTTGGTGATGTCCTTCTTGCCCACGCACCTGTCACTTTGGTGAGGTTGCAGTCAGTTCCAGAGTGTGGCTGTAGGGAGAGTGTGAGGTGCCATCCTCACTGTTCTTCACCATGACAGTGCTGCATCTGGAGTAGTGTCCAGCCAGGACCAGCGCTCCTTCCCACTTGGACAGCAGCCAGCAGATGCCCAGCAGAACGGATGTGAGTGCACTCTTAGTTTTAAAATAACTAGCTAGAAAGGTGTTGATTTGAAAGGTTTCAGTCGTGTGGTGATAGCCGCCAGAGGTGGACAGTCCCTTTTCCTCCCTTCACCAGGGACAGCTTTGGTACACACCCTTCACCCCAGAGTGTGGTCATACCTCTAGGATGTGACCGATGCATCATTTCTGGTCATGGCTGACCTGACAGCATGATCTCCACATTGTGAGGTCACAGAGCTCAGGGAGAGAGGAAGGGCAAGATACTGAAGAAGGCAGAGAGCTTTTCTTAGGGTGGGAATGTAAAACTGAGACTAGCTTTCATCTTGGCATCTCGGCACCTGAGTCTGGCTTAGGAAATAAGGGTGTGCTTCTCCTACTTAAATTCAAGAACTAGGGGGCTAGGGGACTTGTTTTTATTTTACTGTGTTTGGAAGTATTCCCCTTGTCAAGACAGAAAGCTTTATGGCGATCCCTCCTGACCCCCAGGGCACTGCTGAAGATCTCCCCACCATGGATGGAAAACCCTCCACACACAGTCCTCTCGTCTCTGTTCCCTGAACCAGGGCTTTCCACTCGCCCCACTCACGGATGCCTTGTGCTCCTGGGTGTACAGGTAGATAAAGCAGGTGCATCAATCGAGCACTTGCTAATAATAAATCACAAGACATTTTGAAACAGTTCTTTGGCCTGTATGTCAAGATGAAACCAGTTTGTGTGCCAGTGAAGCCGATGGGCTTGTTTATGTTTGCGCAGAGAATTAAATCTTGATGAATATTTATTGTGCAGTGATCTTTCAGTGCTTTTCAGAGTTGACCAAGATTTTGGTTTTTAATGGTCTGTGCTCAGAATGCTGCTTGCATAAATACATAGTACAAAAATCTCAGAAGTGTGTTTAGGTCATTTCACAAATGGTTGGAAATTCTATTCTAATCTCAAGCCAAAATTTATCTTTTAATAAAAACTCAGGTCAGCAACTCAGATTTTATGAAACTCAAATAAACAATTTGTAAAATCAATCATTCTAATATAATATAATATAATCCAAAGATGTTCTAATTTGAAAAACTTACACGTTAAGGTGGAAAATATGTAAAGTCTTTGTTTCTCATGATTAAATGGTTTTGCTTTTACAAGAGCAGAAAAGTTTTTATGTATGGTGAAAACGTTACAGTTCATCGTACTTAACAGTCCCAAGTCTGAGCCAAGGTGCTTCAGGCATGTTGGCTGACTGTGTGGCGAACAGCGTGAGCAGTACAGAGCATGCGCGATGTGGTGTTCAGCGCAAGGCTGCAGTGAAGCCCTGTGACACAACGTGGGCGAGCGCTGCCAGAAGCGCCTCAGATTTAATTTGAATTTGAGTTTCAATTAGTCTTGGTTTTTGCACATTTGGAGACCTCTGGTTGCCAATTCTTTTTGTGACCCCCATGTTCAGTTGCACAATCCCAGTGGGACCACACCCCATAGTTCAAGAATCTGCGTCTTCGATGATGCTATGAAACGGCTTACACTGCGTTTACTCTGTGTCAGGTATCCTTAGCTATCCGGAGATAGTTTAAAGTCGGAGGGAGGGTGTAGTAGGTTCTAGGCAAGCACATCGTTTTTATGTAAAGGGACTTGAATAGTCACAGATTTGGTGAAGAATTCTCCCAGGGATTTGTCTGTCTGTCTGTCTGTCTGTCTGTCTGTCTGTCTGTCTGTCTGTCTTTAAGACAGCTGTGGCTGTCTTGGAACTTACTCTGTAGACCAGGCTGAACTTGCCTCTGCCTACAGAGATCCACTTGCCTCTGCCTACAGAGAACAGGATTAAAGGCACACTCCCCACCGCCTGGCTCTCCTAGGGATTTTAGAAACGGCTGTTCCGTAAATTTTGAGCTCATAATGTTAAAGGGTCGAGGAAGCTGGAGTGGGGAGGCCGTAGAGTAATCTGTGCAGCCGGGTGCCTCACCGTGCGGCTCACCGTTAACACTGCAGGCAGCATTGTCTATAGCGAGTACTTTATAAAAATGTATTGACAGTGAGGTGGCTCTTAGAGTCTCCACTTGGGCAAGTTCCCTACCAGAGAGGCTACTATCCAAATACTGTGGCGAAAATGAGAATGGCTCCCTGGGCCAATTGTCCTTTGAACATATGATTGACGTGGAAGGGACCCACGAGACCGCGGCCAGACATTGTCAGCAGATTGGATGTTTTCATATTCCTCAAGGTGCTGCCTTCTTCTTGACTTTGTCCTTGACATTTCTACATTGAATTGTGAAAAATTAGTGTGAATATTGTCTAAAAAAATTCAGTATTATGATTTTCTCCCAATCTCTAAAATGTTTAGTCTCTTTTGCGGTTTAGCCATCTTGAATAAGAAATTCAAATGTCATTAATAACCTGACAGAGTTAAAACAGTTTTTGAAAAATGCATTGAAGTAGTTAAAATGAATTTTTAATTTTTGGTGGTGGTTAAGTATATAAAATTTATTTGATAGTAGAAGTATAAAATCCAGCGTGAAACCGTGTAGCTTCTTCCATACTGATAGTAAATCTAACCATATAGAAGTTCACGGAATCATGTCGTTTTTCATTAGTTTCCTCGTGTGATTTCTGTTTTACTTGCAATTTTTTTAATAATAAAGTTTAACATAAAAAATTATTTTTTAAATTAGGCTTACATGGCTCAAGCATCTTTGATTTGGAAGTCTGAACTCTGAAATGTCCCCACATGTAAACATTTCTTTTCAGCATTAACATGATGTCCCAAGTGGAAAATTCCATATTGTGAGAATTTTAATGAAAACATATGATGTAAGGTTACCTTTGGGCTGTGCATAGATGGTATATTTGAAACATAAGTGAAATTTGTGTTTAGATATTGGTCCCTTATCCTACATATCTCATTATGCATATGCAAATATTTAAAAAATTCAGAAAAAAGGAAGCTTAAAAGTATTCTGGTCTAAAGTTTCTAGGATAAAAGGGACTGAACTTGCATATAACAATGGGGACTATTGCTTCTTGATGAGGCAGCTACATTTTACCATGTATTTATTTCCTTTCTTCTTTTCTTGACAGGAAAAACTAACACAAGAGTGTGTATTCCGAGAACAGTTTGAAGAGAATTGGTACAACACCTATTCTTCCAACCTGTACAAACACGTGGACACCGGAAGGAGATACTATGTTGCATTAAATAAGGATGGGACTCCAAGAGAAGGGACCAGGACTAAACGGCACCAGAAATTTACACACTTTTTACCTAGACCAGTGGACCCCGACAGAGTACCTGAACTATATAAGGATATTCTAAGCCAAAGTTGACAAAGACAGTGTCTTCACTTGAGCCCTTAGAACATAACCACTATCAATGCTTCCCTGCCGTGGGTTCTTATTGATTAGCAGGGCCTTCACCTCAGCTCCACTGTTGGCAAACTTTGTCGCATGCATATGTATGAGGGAAGCTTGGATGGGGACTTGCTGATCTGCTCCGCTCTTAGGGGCTGGTCCTCCTGGAGGGCTGCCTGGGGCCACTTGCTTGATTTATTGTGAAAGCAGGGGAGAGGCTGTGTGAGAGGGTGTGAGTACCTGAGCGGGTGAGGCGAGGGGGACAGCAGCGCGCCAAGAGGACAACGGCCTGATGCATGCTGGGAAATAGACATGCTTTTACATTTTTGATCAGTTGAACTTCATCCTATATCAGCACAGCTGCCATACTTCAACTCATCAGGATTTTTGGCTGGTGGCCTGCTCAAGGAGCACGCCTCTCCACAGGCGTGGAGGGCGCAGTCTCACTGAAAAGACTGTCAGCTCATTCTCACTGATATCATACAGTGAACTCAAAGCAAAGACCTCTTAGTTTAAAAGAAAAAAAAAAGAAAGAAGAAAAGAGGAAAAAAAAAGAAAAAAAGAAAAAAGAAAAAAGGTTAAATTTATTTATAGAGATTCCAAAGGCAACATTTTATTTATTTTATATATTTATTTATTATATAGAGTTTATTTTTAATGAAATATGTACAGGCCAGATAGGCATTTTGGAAGCTTTAGGCTCTGTAGGTGTTAAATGGCAAAGTCTGCTATGAACCTGTGGTAACTTCATGCAAGTAGGTATCCAAGAAATTCTAATGGCCCTAATGTACTAGAGGCGACAATCTATTTTGTGCCCATATTATTGTAAACTTCTGCACATCGCTCACGACACTGAGTATTCACTCTTCAGATCGCTTGTTTCATAGCTTACCCCAGAGGATTAAAGATAAACTGGGTCTCAACCCTTCATTCCGTGTCTGTAATTTTCCTCTCTCGTAACTCAGTGTAAGCGGGGCTTGGAGTGTACGAAGGCTGGCGTACGTCTTCCTTGTTTCAATCTATTGCAGAGTGTACCAAAGCAAAGCAATAACTATGCCTTTTGAATTTCAGACCACGTCCACGACAGCAAGACGAACGTCAAACACGGCACTGATTTAAAATTACCAAGGGAGTGGAAACATTTACGCAGTACAGATTTTTTCTTCTTCCTCCTCTTCCTCCTCCTCTTCCTCTCTCTCTCTTTTGAGGCAAAAGTCAGATGAACAGGATCATTCTTGTAAAGTTTTTATTTGTGTTTTGGCTATCAAATATGGAATTATACAAGGACCTTAGGGCCCATTACAACATCTTTTATGGAGATTGCGTTTGGTACGAACTGTCATAATTACACAGGGCTAGTACCCTTCAAGTAAAACTTGCAACATGAAACCAATAAATCTTTATCAGTAATGACATTAGAGGGGTACTGTACTCATTGCCTGTGCTTTCTTTTCTGAATCGGTCTTCAAGAGGGCTCAGAGAGGAGGGTGCTGTGTAGCACGCTGTTTACAAAATCTTTTCTTACATTCTATACTGAAAAGTTTGAGAATACAGCTTTATTTGAGAACAAAAATCCTAGAACTTGCTGTTGGGCAAGGGAGACCATTTCTTACTCTGTACTAAGGTGAAAGGAGCCAAATTCCTAAAGCGATATTTAAGGAAAAGAAACCTATAGCACACTTTCGTTTTCCAGCCAGTTGATGCTGGGAAATTGAAAGCGACAGTTCAAAAATGTGTTCAAATTTCCGCAGCTAATTTTAAGATGCGATATCCCGGCTTTGTTTTGCTTGGATGCACATTCTCCATGGGACGTGAAAGCATGTCACTGGCAAGCCGGAGCTGTTGTGAACTCGAAGTGCCTGACTTCCTGTCGTGAGCAAATCCATGTAGCCCTCTGTGGTCCAAGCTGGAGCACGTGGTGACGGACTCTGCTGGCGAGCGTTAGGGAAGAGCTGAAGGTCTTTGGAACTGAAAGACGTCTCAGAGAGAGGACCCCCCAAGCTCTGAGAAGTAGTTGGTAGGATAAAGAGCAGAATGTCCTCCTTATGCACACCCTTTGGACCCCCTTTCAGTTTCTAAACAGGTGCTGTATCGAGATTTGAGCAGTGTTCTTCTTTGTTATTTAATTCTTTGCTGCTAAGATGTATACATATTCCGACTTCCATTTCCCAAAAGCATTTATTTTATTTTTGCTGAAAAGGATTCAGTGTTTTGACCACAGGAGAGAACTAGGTTCATAGAAAGTCATAGCTGTAATATCTGAAGAGATTTTAAAAGAGAGCCATTAATAGTCACACCCTAGTAGGCGTTCCAGAAAATCAACTCAGAAGAAAGAAAAATAACTGTGCAAAAACTAAAAATTTATATGCATTCCCAGCAAGTGCTACTCTATTGTCTATTTTTGAACTTTGTTTTGGTACCTCTTTTTTTTTTTTTTTTTTAAAAGCAAACTATTGTGTGCTTTTGGTAACCAGTATAATAAACTGTAATGGTCTGTAAATAAATAAATATTGATGTATGCGATTTATGTAAACAGTCACTGTGGGAGAGAAGATGGCTCAGGGTTTCTATGTGAGTACCACCCTGGGAAGTAGACAGATCATTCTCAGTGTTGGGTTCGCATCCCATTCGCTTCCTGCTATAAGAGCTGCAAAGCCTGCTGGATGGCAGCCCCAAGCCACTGTGGGCTGGGTGATTCCAGCCCACAAACAGATGCTCAGATAGCCAAACGACTCTCTTGTTGGTGCCAACGCTGGCATCATGGTCAAAGACTTAGCCAGGGTGGACTGACCCACCTTCCCATCTGCCATGCAAATGTCCCCAAGCAGCACTGAAGGACATGCCAGGTCAGCACTGGGGAACCTGCCCTGCCAGGTCCTGCTTTGTGGATAAAATATGGCTTCAGTGGGTGGCATCTTCATTTCATCTCATTAACACGACAATATTGTGTTATTTACGCGATAATCTGTAATTGTATGTAAACACATACAGGATTGTGTACTCTGTGTAAATATATAATTTCAGACTTTGGAAAACTGGTAGTTTTTACTTGATGTCCGCTTGGGAGGTGCCTCAGATTCTTTGCCTGTGTGAGCCAGAGAAAGTTTAACAGTCTCTCTGCCTTTACAGTTTGCTTATGCAGTGAAAATGAATTGAGGGGGTTGGGGGAGTGTGGAGAGCGGGGAGGAAAAAAAAAACCACATTCAGTTCCTCCCATCCCCACCCTGTGAGCAATTGATGAAACAGCCAGGAATCTTCCGGGGAGAATAGGAACTTGGAGTGAGCACGGGCAGCATGCCTGCACAATTTTTTTTTTTTTTTTTTTTTTTTGTGGACAGATGAATGGACAGTGGTGATTGGGTGATTGTTTGAGGTTAGATTCTGTTCGCTGCATCACTTGACCTTGAAATGTGCCAAATTTAGATTTGCACTGCTTGTGGTCACGTGCACAGAAGAGCAATGAAGTGGTGGAGGTGGGGTGGGGGGCAAAATGCCAGCTGAGTTCAAAGGATGTTTGAGCCACCAAAGGCCCTGCCGGGGTGTGTGTGCCTGTGTAGTCTGCATACCTGCAGGGACTGGTAATTTATACCTGAAAGGGGAGCGGGGAAGAATTGTAACAACACAGTCTCTGCCTTCTTCAGGAGACAACCCAAAATCCAGGGAGTGGACCCCGATCGCAGCAAGTTAGGTTGAAAATGTGTAGGCAGACTCTTAAAACTGATTTTTACATGCCCCCACTTAAAACAACAAACCTTCTAGCGTCCTTCTGTGCTTGCCGTTAGATCTATAGAAAGCTGTTTGACAATGCAACCTAATCTTCATGAAAGAAGCTACAGAAACAACAACAACAAAATAGATCCCGCTATGTTTTCCTTTGCGAAGAGTGGTGATAAGCACCCTAACAAGGTCCTCGGTCATGGCTCTCAGGTCTGGAGACAGCTGTACCGCCCTTCGGTCAGACAAGTGCTGGTGAGCCTTCTTGGCTATTTTGGTTAATAGTTAGGGCATTCTATGAATTCCCATTGTTCTCCAGCCATATCTCAGCTTGCATTGCAAAAAAAAAAGTGTTACAATTTAAATTAGGAATACTTATTGAATATCTGCAAAGCCAGTGGCAAATTGTGGTTGGAGTTGGCCTCTGTCCTGTGTACTCCCCTGAAATCTTTAAATTATGCTTGTGGTTATGGTTGGTTCCCATTGGTATACGTGAACTTCGGCAGGAAAACCAGCCCACAGGAGCTGAGGAGTTAACACAATAGATTGTATAATGGGAGTATCTAGAATTCAAGGGCTGCTTTTCCCTCCGTACACAGGGAAGGATAGCTTTATTGATAATGCTCATGACTTACATTGGAGGAACCTTTTCATTTTTTTGAGCCTTTATGCAGGTTTTTTCCTAACCATTTTTCTGGGATTTTGCAAAAACATTCTGTAGGTCCCACCAGGCCATTGCCTCTGGCTTCTAGCCCGGACTTACGACATCTTTGTGTGATTTCTTCTGCTCACCACTAGGGGCTTTTCCTTGTCTGTGAGGCTGGTGTCCTGCTCTTTCAGAGGCAAGCAATACTCCAAACGTTCCTGTGCTCTCCAGCTGAGAAACTCTTTCTCCCTCTAATTTTATTCCCTTCTGTTCTTCTCCCTCACTCCTATCTCTCCACTCTGTGGAGTGGCACCGGGGATAAGACACAGTCACAGATGGCACCCACAGAGCCTAAGAGGAGATCATGGCGCCGTTTGTTCTGAATCCTGAGATAAGGGATGTTCAGGACTGTGGACAGTAAAGTGCCCATGATCCAGACCTCGAGGCCTCTGGGATGGTAAGGTCAAAGGGGAAATGTGAGCGTTGAGCAGGAATTGCAGAAGAGGTCCCTGCAATGTTCTCTTCTGTCTTAATGTTGCAAAGGTACTTTGTCTGTTGGGAACAGGGGCTGGTCGCATCTCTTCCTGACAGACAGTGACCGAGTTGGGGACTCTCAGAGGGTTTCATCAATCTTGTGGAGGACTGTGGGTTCCTGGAGATGAAGAGGGCCCCAGTGTTGGCCTCTGACCATCCCCACCTCCAGGACTTACCTATGTCTCTCATTCTTGGTATTAATTTGTTACTCATGGTTTCTCTCCAGACAAAGGTAGTCCCTTCAACTATACTGATCAATACTGGTCATTTAAAATTTCTTGTCACAGTGACTTACTACCACAGGAAGAATTGTAATACAAGAAAGACTTAAAACAAAAGAGGTGAAAATATAGCACAATCTTTCAGATATTCAGTCCATTCTTTACATATGCATTGAGTAATAGCTGCATGAGAAAATGTGGTACAGGGTATGGAAAATAAGAACAAGCAGGGTGTTGTGCCTGGATTTTACCTGCCATTTCAGTGCCCTGGAGGCTGAAGCAAGAGGATTTCTGTGAGTTAGAGGCCAGCCTGGGCTAATGAGTTCCAGGATGGTCTTGACTATATCACGAGACTGTCTCAAAACCCTCAAACTAAAAACCAAATCCACGAAATATCTATTAACAAAACCAAGATAATAAACAAACAAAAAGCCTCAAACCTCAAGGGCCAGTGAGATGGCTCAGTCGGCAAAGTCACTTGCCAGAAGAGGCTCAGCAGGTAAAGTCACTTGCCAGAGGAGGCTCAGCAGGTAAAGTCACTTGCCAGAGGAGGCTCAGCAGGTAAAGTCACTTGCCAGAGGAAGCTCAGCCTGAAACCCTGAGTTTGGTTCCTGGGACTGAAATGATGGAAGGAGAGAACCAGCTTCCACCAGTTGTCATCTGACCTCCACAAGTGTACTGTGGCATGTTCATAACCGCACACATACATGTACATACACACAAACCAAGGGCTGGAGAATTGGCTCGGTGATTAAGAGCCGTTGTTTTTCTTCCAGAGGACCCAGGTTATGTTCCCGGTACCCTTCTTAGGTGGTTCACAGCTATCTATAACTCTAGCTTCAGGAGATATGACATTGTTTTTGGCCTCTGCAGGCAATTGCACATATGTGGGGAGCATGCACGTGCATGCTCACGCGTATGTGTGCATACACACATATACACACACGAGTGGGGACAGAGACAGAGAGACAGAGAGAGAAATAGAGACACACATAAAATAAAAATAAAATCTTAAAACATCTCCCAACAACAAAAGAGCCAAGCAGCCTTCTGAGCAGACACAGAAATGCCCAGCTGGACTCTGCTTTGTGGCTAGACACGTTAGATTGGGGTGCCCACAGGATGAGGCAATTACCACAACAGCACTAATTTTCCGAAACTCATTCTCCTTTCAACGATGTATTTAATTTGCATTGACTCATGGCAACCCAGGAGCAGCCCCGCTCAAGCTCTGCTCCTTTAACTGGGGCATTTGGAGAGGCTGTCCTCCAATGGAATGATCAAGACTGTTGGGTAGGTG